ACCAATATGCCAAAAATATAATGTTTTGCAAATGATAATTAGGAAAATTGATAAAATAACAAGGCCTCGTTTGTTTTTCGATTGGGTAAATGCAATTATCCGGTAATATGGGTATTTCAGTTATACCAATTTTCCATCTTATAATCTGAAAAATGAATAGGCTAGAAGGATGAAAAAGTAAATACAAGAGTGTGGGAATAAGTTTTTTAGAACCCTTCGCTATTATCTAATTGGAGAATGTGTTCCATCAAATGTATTTTCATCGTGAATAACAATCTAGCCGGCTTGTTCAATCGGATTACATGCTGATACACATGGTAGGAGCCAAGCCCATTAGTCCAATGAAATGTTGATACAGCAATGTTTTTTTTTTTTTTTTCTCTAAATTGTTTTATCTCTTTTACAAAATCTGGTCTGTTCCTATTTTCATTGGACGTTGCATGTGGTGATGGTTATAATAGGTGTGAGCTCCGATGAATTGGTAAACTTCCTTGGTGACCTGAACTACCTTCTATTAGGCACGTTAGCTAAGTATAATGAGTGAGCATCTAATAGCTGTGTGATACATGTCTTAGTTAATGTGTCTTTTATCCAAACGTTTTTGTTAGTTAGACAGAAATTATTCATTATTTTATTATCTTTGTCAAAATAATTAAAATAGAAAATAATGAAAAAATAAAACTTAAATGCATCCCAACTCCCAACATGTTTAGTTTTTTTTTTATTATTTTGACAAGGCTAATAAAATAATGAATAATTTCTGTTTAACCGAGCAAAAACGTTTAGATGAAAGACACATTAACCGGGACATGTGTTACACAGCTATTACGTGCTCATTGATTGTGCTTATCTAACATGCCTATTACATCTGGACCCTGCATGAGATATGAGGTTTTTCCCTCCCCATAAAATTGATAAATTTACAAAAAAGATGTTAAGATGTATGGTTTAAAAATAATTAGTCTAAAAAACTTCATTATTAATGTAAGTCCTTTTCTGCAATTTTTGTTTGAATCCTACAATTTGATTCACAAATATTACTATTTATACAATTTAAATAAATTCAATTAAGAATTAGTTCTCTACTCTATCACTTTTTTTTGTTTATATTTCATTTTGAGAAGAAAGACTTGTTATTAGAAAATGATTTATTTATGTTATTTAAGATTGAGAATTAAATTTATTTTCTATCATATGTGGGTAAAAGTGCTATTGTTTATGAATTTATTTGACTTTCAAGTTAAATTTTACTGTATCACTTTAGGCTTCAATTTTATAAGTGATAAATTCAATTTGTTTTAGGTGCATATGTGGTAGATATGGGTTAAAATAGGCTAAGATTACTCACACAAATATATTTAGCCTTTTTAATATATCTATATTTAATTTTTGACATTTTTTTTAAAATAAAAATTATCTTACGTTTATGATACAATTCACGGTTTGATTCAATTCAACTTTTTCTATGATTTACGATATGGTTACAATTTTCAGAACATTAATCATAGCATAGCATAGGTGTTTGAGAAGCACAAGCATGATTTCCAAAACCGGACCGGACCGGACAGTCAGACTGGAAAAACCGAGACTGATTCCATTTTCCCCAAAAACCGGATTTCCCCCCAAATTAAACCATTGATTTTGGTCAGTAAATCGCTGAACCGGGCGGTTAATCGTTCGAACCATTTGAATGGTTTTGACCATTTATTTATTTATTTATTTATTTTTTATTTTTTGATTTTTTTTTATCAGAACAAGCCGAGCGTTCGATTCAAATGATTCAACCATTCAACCTAATAACCAGACCCCTGACCAGTTCGGTTTTAAAAACCATGAACAGAAGAGAAAAGAAGTTGCATAGATTACTAATTAAACTCTATTCAAGGCTATAAAAAGAAGGAAATGATGATTTTCTACCCAATCATTTGAGATTTAGATCCTTTATGATGGAGGAAAAAAAAATAATGAGGCTGCATACGACCCCAATAAGGCAATAAAAAAGAAAAAATCAGTTGGAATTGAAATTATCTCTAATATTTTTTTTAAGGCAAATTATCTCAAATATTGGTATTTCCATATTTGATTGGAGCTCATGTAACCGTGAACGCAAAAAATCCCCATACCCTTAAGCCCCCAATCGTGGTAACAGCAGCAGGATTTCGATCCAAGTTTTAGAGGCAACGAGCTAGCCAGCAACCGTAACAACTGAACCACCCGTCAATTGGCTTTCTTCCCTTTTATTTCAAATAAAATCCTTTGTGATCATGTTGTAACCAGCTGGGAATCCTTAAAATGGGAGACACAGAGAGAGAATTGTTTGTGAAATTTTGAATGTAATGCAGTTTAAAGGATTCGACTCTAACATGAAGCCCTAATTATATGCATGCTATCGTCTTTCTTATAAAATCAATCTCCAACATCCATTTGTCCATATTTTCAGTTTTTTTTTGGCATATTTTTTCAGGTTTGGGCAATATGCAACAACACCATTGATAATTAATAATTAGGATAAAGGCTTTGTTTGTATTTTTGGAATGTTATTTATCTGGGCCAGTGCACTTATTCAAGTAAATGTTTCGTGGGAAACACTTATCAAGTAAATTCCTGGTAAATCCCAAGTAAGTTATATAATGATTTTTTTTATTCATAAAAAGCCAATGTTAGAACGAATAAATTTGTCCCATTATATTTTGTAAGTTTTCCCTATAGGTGGGAAAGTTAATTACCCACATGAGAGATTGATATCATTTACTCTGAGAAACTAACTTTTACAATGGGGTCTAAAGCTTATAGAAAAAAAGAACAATGTAAAGTTGGTTAATGAGAATCACTTTCCCCTCCTATCTCCCCAAAAAAATGAACATGGCCAAAATATTGACTAATGTAACATATTCTGGTGTTTACTTGCATAATTAGATCCTACAGACCATCCATTGCAGTAAGGTTAACTCTAGCTCAACCCTAGGGTTGCAAGTTGAGTCGGGTTGAGTCCAACCCTAAGTTCTAAACCCCCAACCCTAACCCATCCTGAAGTCAACTTTGGGTTAGGCCAACTCAACCTTCTTCTCAATTTTAGATCTTAACTCAACTTTCACTACATATATTAATCCTATTTTTTATTAGTACTTGTTTGTTGACATTTTTATTGGTTTTTTGGTACAAAATTCAGAAAAACATGTGTTTGAAATGACTATAGTTTATTATGAGCAATGACTTATGATAGATTTTTTATGGGCGGTAAATAAAATATTCAAAAACATAAAATATGTTATTAAGGTTTTAGTCATACCGATTAGGATTAAGTGAATCATGCATCTAAACAAATCAATATATGATATATTCCATATAACATATATTTATATATTACATGTAATATATAGTCAGGTTTGGGTTAGATCGAATTGCATGAATGATTAATCCTAACYTAAGCATCAACCCAACCTAACTCAACCGGACTTTTTCAGATTGAGTTAGGGCCAACCCGTCCCAAGTTGCAGCCTTAGCCAAAACTTGCCTCGCCCCCAATCAACGTAGCAGCCGGTCATCCCAAAGTTTTGGTCTATTTCAACTCAACCAGTCATTTATAAAGTGGGCACCTAGAGTTTTGATGGGGTTTATGCTTAATAATTAACCCAAAGTTTTCATAGAAATAAACACAGTCAACATTTATCTATTTACATGATTTATGCTTAATAATACTCTTAACAGTTAATTACATTTAAATGTTTCTATGTGAAAGGAGAGAGTTAGGATGAAGTATCAAATAAAGTTTGAGGGCTCTGTCATTCAATTGGATTTGAAGGTCATGGAGGTAGCAGCCATATTGGATTTGATAATATCAATACATCATCCATAATTGGGCTGCTAGTGATCTATTAAGATGGTCAGTAAGCATCAATCCATATTATAGGAGGTCCGTGTGGGTGCAAGCTTTTTGTGGTTGACCATCAGGCCTCAAGTGTACATTGATATGTATGTATGTTTTGGGCCTAATGTCATATGAAAAAGCCCGTATCGTAAGGAATTCTATGGTAGAGGGCCTCCACAAGCGGGGTGCTTGGTTTCGTGGGCATTTATTTAATAAATGTTATTATATAGACGTTACTTCAACAGTTTCTTTCTTTTGTTTTTCGGTATATATTGAGAATGGCAAAAGTGGATTTCGGTTTTTGTGCACCTCTACCATTTGGGAAAATTATTTTTCAAATCTTTCACAAACGGTCAGGACGTTTTTTCACTGTTATGCGGATGTGGTGCCTAGTGGTTCCTAATTGTCATAAATAGTTGTAATTATTACCTTTCTCGGTTTTACAAGGAAATAAAGTATAAACGTTGAATGAAAAAACGTAAAGGGAACCAAGGTTTTTAATACTGACCTGAACAACGAACCGTTCAGGGGGTCCGGTTATTGGGTCGAATGGTCCGACCATTTGAATCGAACAATTGGCTTGTTTTGACAAAAAAAAAACGATCAAAACCGTTAAATAGTTCAAATGGTTCAACCACCCGAGTCAATGATTTGCTGACCAAATCAATGTTTTTTGGCAAAAATCCGGTTTTAGGGAAAAACAGAACCGGTCACTTGGTTTTTCTGGGCCGACCATCCGATCCGGTCTGATTTTAAAAACCATGAACGGAACCAAACACACACAAGAAGGCCATCATATCATATAATTCATGGACCATCGAGTTGAATGGGTTTGATCACGCACAAATCCGTCTGTTATTCCTATCGTGGATGGTCTAACCTTGGGCCAACCAGCAAAAAAAAACCCGGTCGGTTCCACTCTAATGCAATAACTAAAATAACCCTTGGTGGACCCTTTTTGGCCATTTCCCGTGTGCTATTTACTCTTCTGCAATTCGACCGGTCTAATTTATTGCCGGACCACGACCAACTACCTCCAAGTTGTTGTTCCATTGGTTTCTCGCTTTCTCCTCCCATTGGCAATTGCCCCGTAGCCGTAGGTCCCATTATAAAAAGCTATCATCATATCCTCACTGAAAATTCTTATGATCTTATCTCCCTGCAGAGTGCAGGCAGCATCAAAGCAAATCCAATGGTTAATAGTTTCAAGAGAAGCTTAGAGAAATGGAGGGGTTGGACTTGAACACGCACACTGCACACACACCCACCTGAAGATTATTGTTTCTTCTCCTCCACCTCCTCCTCCTCCTCCACCTCCTCCATATGGCTGCAACGGCTGCTTATCCTGCAACAGCCTTCACCCCTGCAAGAATACTTCTTAAAATCTCACCGAGACACCTTCCGCCACTCATCTCTCCCCACCAACTTCGTTTCAAGTCCAAGCCTTCCTCAACCTTTCAATCTTCCAATGCACTCCCTCGTTTTTTTCATCTGAGTCCTCTAATACCAATTTCTCCTTCCGGTTTCTCTGCCTCAGCGGCAGCAACGGCAACGACTTCAAATGGAGATCCTTTTGCGGTGGATAATGAAAAGTTTCTTCTTTCGTCCGACGCCGAACCACAGAGATCCTTCGGAGTTCTTTTCTCGGTTGTAGTATGGATTTTTCTCTCCCTTGTTTCGCTCCTGGCATGTGGCGCTGCTCGTGCTGCTACTGATTCCATGAGAGCATCGGGCTTTGGTTTGAAAATTGCAAGCGCTCTTCGGAGCTCGGGATGGCCTGACCAGGCTGTTGTTTTCGCTCTCGCTATGCTTCCAGTAATTGAGCTTCGGGGGGCTATTCCGGTTGGTTACTGGATGCAACTCAAGCCTACGCTCCTAACCGTCTTATCTATTCTTGGGTCAGTCTCTTCTCTTCTCCTTTCCCCTTGAACTCAGCAGCTGGGTAGATTTAATTTTCTCTTTAACCAGTATTATCAGGACGTAATGTGACAAATTGGCCTCTTCTGGATTTACAGTTATGTATTTATCGAAAATGCACTAAATGTTTTTGACAAATTTTGTGTGTGATTAATTTGGATTTTGGTCCTTCTAGTCCCATTTTAGAGAAGACTTCGACTTTATGGGGTCTTGTCTGCTGTGGATTATCTATAATAATTTGATGGCAACTGCAGGAATATGGTTCCCGTTCCTTTCATTGTACTCTATCTGAAGAGGTTTGCGTCTTTTATTGCTCGAAAGAACAATTCGGCATCGCGTTTCTTGGACCTGCTGTTTGAGAGGGCTAGGGAGAAGGCCGGGCCGGTAGAAGAATTCCAGTGGATTGGTCTAATGTTGTTTGTGGCTGTGCCGTTCCCTGGAACTGGAGCCTGGACAGGAGCTATTATAGCTTCCGTTCTTGATATGCCCTTTTGGTCTGCTTTCTCTGCGAATCTTTGTGGAGTAGTTTTGGCTGGGCTTCTAGTAAACTTGCTTGTTAACCTTGGTCTCAAGTATGCTATTGCAACTGGTGTCATCCTCTTTTTTGTTTCTACATTCATGTGGAGTATCCTGAGGAGCTTTAAGAAGTATCTAAGGTCCACTAACTGAATTGACACTTTGAGAAGATGTATGAATGCAATTTTTCCCCTGATTCTAACAAAGTCTCTAGATTTACAAACTATGTGGTGTGTGTGAATTCGAATGGATAGCTTTGGTTTTGAACATGATTTTAGTTCTTGCAGCTGTTGATAAAAACCAATTATGCTTGTCTTACAGTTTCCATAGATCTAGACCAGTGTTAGACCACTGTTTCTTTTATTTAATTAGGGAAGGCAGAAAAGAAAAACAGAACAATACACCTTCACTCACTATAATACATTTAACATATAAAAGAATAACCAACCCACAGTACAAAGAATTTCTGAGGACCCTGTCTTTAGCTAAGATTTGTGGTCTACAGAAGCACCTTGTAACTGGGCCTGAGAAAACATAGATAATCATACCAAAACCGTCTCTAGGCATTCTTCCTGTGCCGGTGAGGATCTGGATTTCCCAACTATCAACCACTAATTTTAGGCTTTATGAAACGAGAATCTTTTCTTGTCTTCTTTTTCCTCCCTTTTGATAATTTCATGATAGAGAAATCCAATCTTTCGACAGTTTGAGATAGGAAAATAAGATAGGGTGTCTTCTCTGGATGTATTCACCATGCCATTTTTTGTTTACATAAGCACTCTGTATATTTTTGGCACATATATGCATATTTGTTGCAGGAATGAAAGTTTATTGGATCACTTTTAGGGAGAAAAAATAGATATTCCTGGGATTTCATGTATAAGCTTGTATTGTGTTCTGTCACTGTTTGTGGTTTTTTAATCATGTTTACATGTAATGTAGCAGTAAAGGGGCCAGTGCTTGATACACTGGTAAAATTTCACATTGACAAGCATGGAGAAGCAGATTTGAATCTAATAGCAGCCACTTCGGCAAAAAATGCCAAGGATTTGGTCCTTATCTGGTCGACCCCTCCTAAGACCCCAGATAGCTAGAACAAAAGTGGAATTTAAAACCTGAGTTCTAATTTACTAAATGATATCACGAAAGTCTGTCTATGGGCTCAAATCTTGAATTTCCTAGTCTTTATTGGGGACCTACTCACTGCTGCTCTGCTCCTGGATGGGTCTTTTCAGAGGCCGCTTTGACATGGGATCATCATCATCATCCATGCCTTATCCCAAGTTCCCAACTATATGGAGTCGGCTACATGAATCCTGTTTTTCCATACAGGGGATGGGACAAGTTTTATTTTGTTTATTTATTTTTTTAACACGAAACTACAAAATTTATTCAGATGTAAATGCAGTGCCCATAATTTAATAATGAACATGGCACTGAATAGAGTGAAATGATGGAATATACATCATACATGCAGCTGACCCAGAAGGTTGGAATAAGGCTTTATTGAGTTCAGTTGAATTTAGTTTAGTACATGGAAAGGTGGGAGGGATTACTATTACTTGGTTTATGCATTTTGTAATGTTTTGAACTGGTTTGTTTTTGAAGAATTTTGCTATTCTTACTTTTGGAATATGCTATTTGTACATTTTCCTAGAGCTTCTTTGAAATTGTTTATTTCTTGGGGTAATATAGTTTAAATTGTGTGTGTAGATTAAGGAGAACAATTCTTCATGGTTGGTCAGGAGTACCGTATGGTAATGGTAGATGAAAAGTTGTTCAATAATTCCAGTTTAACTGAGATTTGTTCATGGATATTTGTTTGCTTTCTTTGGCAACTTTAGCTGTCATCAGAAGATAATTTAGCTGGTGGAATTGACTTGCATTGGTTAGATATTTTTCATTTTCCAATTTCCATGCATAGTATCTGAATTATTGCATTGAGGGATTATACATATGAGAATTCTGTAAAAGCTACAAAAAGAAACCGCTCAGGAAGAGTTTGTTTAGGTTAATCTAATATGCTCTGCTCTTCTGACATCTCCTCTCAACACCAACAAAGCAAGTTTATGGTATAGGAGAATGGCATTCTTTCAATATATTGAAAACCTGTTTCTGAATTAACTTTGACAAAAATTTCTATGTAGTTGTGTACCGTATGATACTAGAGACAAATTCCAAGCACATGGAAGTTTAGTTGTGAGATGGAAAAGAAGGCAGTGAAGAAACTTCTCAGTGCTTAAACAATTAAGAGAAGGAAGGACGACAAGTTGAAAGCCTTTCTACTTCAAATTTAGATCAAATGGGGTTCTTGCATAACATTTCTGAGAATACCTTTTCTTGGATTAGGCATTGTTAAGGTGACTTCATGTTAGGTGGAAAATGTTGCTTGGGTTGACTGACATCTTTATGATCGGTAAAGTGGTATGTATGAAGAAACGTTGTCCAATTTCCAGGTTCAAGACAGAGCAGCAATTTCAATTTCATGAAGCATGGAGGATTCTATTATGGAGAAGATTAGAAGAGTAAAAGTTTTATTTTTGAGATCCTCCAGATGAGTCTATTTCTGAATTAATTAATTAATACCAAGAACACAATGTTAGGTCATCAAAGAGCTGTTTGGATGAGATGAGGGGTGATTACTATTTACCTTTTAGACAGGAATACTAGTTGAAAATTATAACAGAAAAAAAGAGTTTTTGTTCTTGGAAAGGTAGAACTTGTAGTATGTGGTATGTGTTAGTTTATTACAAGTAGAGAAAAGAGAAGAACCAAAGAAAAACTTGGAATGCTACACCAGGATTTGTGAAGTGTGCGTCTTAATTTAATGGCATGACACCTACCATAGATATTATAAACTTAGAGAATAAGTGCTCCTCCCACCTGGTTCATCGCTTTTTAATATTGAGTAAAATAAAAAGAAGAACCTAGTTGCATATATGGTGACTTCTAAGTTCTAAGTTTGATTGCTTTTTAATATTGAATAAAATGCAAAGAAGAATCTAGTTGCATTTTGTTACGGTCCCGCGCGTAGGATCCCGTCACGGGTCGGTCCACGGTGC